AGGGTTGAGGGTTGAGGGTTTAGAGCCGAACCTCCCGAACCACGCGCTTCCAGCCCGAACCCCTGAGTCTGGCTTAGGCTTAGCTACCCGAACTGTGAACAGTGACTAACACCATCCAGCAGCCCTAAAGCTACCACTGAAGCTGTGAACTTCGGAACTTCATACAATTTGTGGCCTACATCCCCAAGAAGGTGCAAGGCCCAAAACACGACATAGGTCGTGGACAACATGTTCTGCTTCTTCTTCACATTCGAGATTACAGTTCGCCACTTCGCCGGAGTTTCAGCTTCCTAAACCCTTAACCCTAAANNCCCTAAACCCTAAACCCTTTCAGGTTATGTGGTAAGAGTCTCAGAGTTTCGGGACTCTTGGGTAGTTTAGGGTGAAGGGTTTCGAGTTTGGGGTTTAGGGTTATGTGGTTCGTTCTCCAAATTCGGGTCCCTTTCTAGGCCCCCCAGGCAGTACGGCACCCTATAAACAGAAGGTAGTTCTCAAAACTAGGGTCCTTTCTGAGGTCCCCAAAATAGTACGGCAGTCTTATAACACGAACCCGAATTTTTTGAGAACTACCCATGTGTAGTCGTTTGATCGGTCATGGCGTGATGTAGAAGCACATGGCCCCGGGAGTTCAGGTTCTCGTACTTTCTCTCAGTTTCGGGTTTGATTAGGGTTTGCGGCTTATTCAGGTTGGCGCTGTGAGTCCCGGTTACTGTTTAATATCCTTAGGTTTCCCTCGTTTTGACTATAGCAGAATATACTCTAACACCTTATTCTCATCACTGAGCCACACGCCAAAATCCTGAACCCTAAACTCCTAAACCGCCGGCTTCGAGAGATGATGCGCCGTATGCTCTCAAACTTGAAGCCTTGAGCTCCATCTTAACGGGAAACTTCCACCCTTTGCCTACATGACTTGCGTTGGGGGCTTACGGGTTAGTCTTAGGATGCCGAAACCGTAAGCCCTTTCAATTTCAGATTGGTTCGGCTGAATGCCACAAGCTTTCGAGATTCTGGGAACTCTGCCAAGAAGCCGAGGCTACTTCGCTTTCCAAAACAGGGCAGACGCCTTCAAGGACCTGTTCCGATCACTCTTCAATACATGGGTCGTACTAGTTGGTTAGCAGCTTGGGGTTATATGCAACTATAAATACTTTGCGGAACCCTAGGGGCAACGACAGCAGTAATTCCTACTCTAGTCATCGCTGTAGCATCCAATCTGGTATAACAGCACACATACGACCAGTGCACTGAATACTCTTGCAACGACAAGTACAAGGAGCCGTGCTTATTTACACCAGCGTGCGGTTGTGATTATGTAGTTATTGGCGCATGCATCTCTCTCTGCATATAGACTAAGTATGTGTAAGTCTGTATGTATATACTGTATATATATATATATAGACATGTATGCATGCATGTATGTATGTATGTAGGTAGGTAGATAGGTAGGTAGATAGGTAGGTAGGTAGGTAGGTAGGTAGGTAGGTATGTATGTACGTACGTACGTACGTACGTACGTAGGTATGTATGTATGTATGTATGTATGTATGTATGTATGTTTGTATGCTTGTATGTTTGTATGTTTGTATGTATGTATGTATGTATGTATGTATTTATGTGTGTTTGTGTATGCATATAGATACATACTCACAAACATGTATGTGCGTATATTTGGTTTTCTACACATCTGGACTCTTGTTTCTAAGGGTGGTGATCGGATTTGTGTGTACCTATAGGACTAGGTGCCGTTCGTTTTTTTGCCTGCAGATTGCAAGCGACAACATCGGAGATGCAGGGGCAGAATGTTTGGCTGGCGCAGTTTTGGAACGCAAGAGGTTGGAGGTATTCACTCTCGGCCGGTGTTACGCGATCGCAGATGCCGGCGTAGCAGCTCTGGCGGCAGCGAGCTTAGCCTAGCAGCCCCAATAGGATAAACGGTTTAGGGTTTAGGGTCATGTCTCACTCCTGCATGGCAGATATGCTGCCTCATACGAGGGGCAATCGTAGAGACCCAAGTGCACAAGCCCCGCTCGATGGGCAAGTAAGCAAGAGAAGGGCATGCCGAAGGCATGCTCAGAATAGGCCTGAGCCCCATACCTGTAGACTCGAGTGGAGTTTCTTCGATTGGTTATCTTATTTCGTATGTCGTGTTAGGACCTTCAACATAAAGTTCGTTATGATAACCGAAAGAAGCTGCAATGAAGACTCTCATGAACAAGTCCCCTGGGTCGGCTGTTCAGAAGTCCTGTCTTACAGGAACCCTCTTAGTCGTGGTTTAGGGTTTAGGGTTTA